TGTATACCCTGTGCAATGGAGAATGATATCTGCACGAATAGATGCACCATCCTGGAATACAACTTCTCCGCTCTCATTAACATGATCGATCTGCATGTAGATATTAACTTTAAAATAAAAACCATATAAAATATTTGTTTATTCTTTTTATGCTTTCCATGAAAAATCGAGTAGTTCTTATTATTTGACTCATTCGACCTAGATGATCGCAGATCAAATCATATGGGACGTCCATTTTCAGTAGGCAAGACATTCTGCTCTATAATATTGTTATTACATTATAAATTCACAACGCAGAAAATGTAAAATTAAGGAAACCTCACATGACAGTATACGAATTTAAACGTAACACAACAAGCTTCAAATTAATCTCAGATTTTGAACTCAAACCAGAGGCGGATTCAGGATTCATTATAAGGGTAGCCGACTTAATAAAAAAACAGTTAACCCTAAAAATTCCACAAGGTCGAGGTTCCGTGTGAGATCCGAGAGGCTAGACAATAGTTTTACTCAATAACTTCAAAACACATTCATTAATTCCATGAACCTATGATCATGTCTTTCGTGGACATTAGCATATATTACTCTTGACCTTGTACACAATAATTGTCTTGCTCGTTTACCACAAAACCCACGCGTCGTTCAACATATGAATGCTCGTATCGAAGTTGCAACAAGATGGAATCATGAATAAGTAGACACAAAATTTGTGGATCATATGATATATGATTGAGATTACCTTAGAGTGCTGCCACATGTTAAATCCACAGTCCAACTTGGAAATTTTGACATTGGGAGATCTTGAGGAAAGATGAACTTCTTTAGCTACCACAGAAATCTCAAGAGATATATCTCTTGCGCTGGGACCACTCCCAATCACCACCACAATCTACATACACTTGTGTCCAGTCCAACATTTTTCTTACAATCATATCTTACATATTTTTCACTATAAATTGATGAAAGTAAACAAAAAATATGAGATTTTATTAATAATAACCTGATCTTGAAACGGCTCTGGGACTCTATAGTTGTGACTATGCATCTGTTTCCCAGGCCATTTTTCCATGCCTTAGGTTTTTAAACAGAAAAAAAAAATACCAATTTAAACAATGTAGTCTTCTTTATATCTTTACTGAACTGAAACTAAAAGATAAAATTGTTAGTTTACCTGGAAAATCTGCGAGTCTTGGTATAGTATGATGGCCACTACAGACAACAACCGCATCAAAAACCTCAATCGAACTCAACTCGTCCTTCCTCGACTCAACCACCCACTCACCGCTTCCCGACTCTACCCGCTCAACTCGGACCACTTCAGTCCCCAACCGGATCAAATCGGCGAGCCCATGGTCCGCAGCATACTGTTTCAGAAACTCGAGTACCTCCACATGACCCGGGAAGGTCCTCGAGTCGCGGTTCTTCCTGGTCGCAAACGGGTAATCGCAAAAACCCATCATCTGCCTGGGGATGTTGGTCCGGAGAGAACGGTACAAGCTGCCATGAACGATTTCCCGATTCGGGTCGAGGCCTAGCGGGTCGGATTCGGCTCGTGGGTCGTAGACCCAGAGGCCGCCGAGTTGGTCCGATTTCTCGAAGGCCACAACTCGGTGGCCTTCGCTCTTGAGAGCGACGGCGGCGGATAGACCGGAGACGCCGGCGCCAATCACCGCCACATTGAGCGGCTGTGAGGCCGTGGGGAGATCATTGGAATTGAATGGGGAGGATGATGTGTCACTTCTCATGGTTATTGAATTTAAAGTAATCATGTAATGTAAAAAATCTAAATGGAGCAAGTGAGTAAGAATGATTGAGGACACTTGGGCTATTATAACATTGGTCTTCTTGTAGCCCACCCATTTTAGAAGTTTCAATTAAAAAAGATGCAACTTTGTGTATTTAATTACTTATTTGGCATTTGGTTGGCATATAAATATTGTTAATATATTTAGATTTATGTGATGTATAAAATAATCTTATCATGTGTATAAGTTAAATTTTATGTTATTTATTGAGATTTTTAACATCATTCTTAACAAATATTAAGGTTATTAAAATTTCCGATCATTCAAAAATTATAAAATTATAGGTTCCATGTCCTATTAATCGATCAACGGTTAAATTAGTAATTATTTATTGATATGTCTATATATTATATACTAATTTAATAATAAATTTATGTATAACTGAGTAGTTTCTCAAATAATTTTAAATGTACAAATGGCTAAAGTAATTTATACAATAATATATACATATCCAAATTATGTAAATATTTTTTTATTTATATTTAAAATGCCAAAATTGCTTTTTTGTAATAATAAAAATTGAACCCTTTTGATCAACAGGTTTTTTGATTGATTTGTCTGTTCTTGGAAGGCGATTTTCCAATAAGAATGGGAAATTATATTCTCCTGCCTACGGTGGGCATGCCCACTAGTTTGTTTTATATGAAAAACGTATTTTGAGAATACGTTTTTCAAGTAAATTTACTTGAAAAACGTATTCTCAAAATACGTTTTTCATATAAAATAAACTAGTGGGCACTGTCCACCGTAGGCAGATGAGCGAGACTGTAAGAATGGGACCAATTAAGCAAGTGGTTCACATGTCAATAACAATCCTATCGAGTTTTTACTCCAACTAATTCAATACACGTGTTACGTGTACTACACCAATATTTGTTAGAAAATTATATTTAAATTTAAATAATAATAACATCACAAGCTGTTTTTGTTTTTAATACTTCTTGAAAACGATATTATTAATTATATTTGAAATGACACCGTCACTTAAACGACTTACTATCTTAAATAATAGTTTTTTTTTTTAATTATATCATATAACTATTTTGTAGTTAAGTTAGTTTAAATAATTTTATATTTTAAATTACAATTAATAAGTAATTTAATTTTACTTATAAACATAAATAAAATTATTTATTTATTTTATATATATAATATAGATGTCAAATCAAAGCTCATCAAGACATGAGTAATTTGATATATTATATATAAAAAATTGTTAATAAATAAAAAATATTAATTTTTAAATATGTTTATAATGGAAAAAATAGGTTTGGAAAAAAAATTTGTACGTTATAAATCACTTCTACAATAGAAAAAAAGTATTAAAATATAATTAATGCTCTTAAAAGGAACCGTAGATATCCAATATATTTATGGATATTTCAAACCTAGTTTTTTTTTTTTTTTGTTAGAAATAAATTAAAATTCAACCAAGCCAATTTAACAAAAAAGCTTAAAAATTTGGCCCATATGATACTGAAGCGTGCGAGCCTGTTGTATGTAGTTTTTAGCCGAGTACGATCGAAAGATCTCACTCGGGTCGTCTTCTCGAAGGAAGGTTGATCGGAGTTTCATTCACTATCTAGTCGTCAATTCACAAAACTAAAAATAAGGTCCTAAACATGCTTCTCGCTTGATAGAGGGTGATTTGAACAAAATTAAGCTAAGAAATGAAAGCAAATGATGTCAGATGCAAGTTTTGAAAGAAAGATTGGAACTTTGGTTGACCGGAGTTTCCGTAACTTGACGAAAATGAATATAACGAACAAAAAACATGCGAGCAAAGTGATCCTAGGTAATCTAACCCGAGTCTTCTAAATCATCATGATTTGAGCAAACTCGAGACCTTTGCACAAGATAAGCACGTATTGAATACCTAACATACTTGAACAAACAATAAAAATAAAGCAAAGTCCTAAAATAGAGCATCACACAAGATTTTGGCCAAAACACAAACTCAAATAAATAAGCCCTAATCAAGGTACTTACCCTCTTATCGCAAGCTTGGATGAAAAAACTGCGTAAAGATCGAATTTTGGATAAAAATAAGGTCGTTGGAAAATGGCCAGAAAAGTCGCTGGAAAATGTCAAGTCTAAGACCTCCAACCAAAGAAATAAAAATAAAAGAGAGAAAAATAGCTAATTTCCCAACTAAAAGTTGGAAAATGAGGTGGTGTCTAAAAACACAAAGCAAAATGTCTATATATAGCTATACCACAAACACACACTAAAAAACACACACATTTAATGAATAGAACTCACAAAATTGCGAAATAGGGCTTCTGGCCGTAGATTGTGGCCTCGGCACGCGCAACGTCGCGAAAGTGCACTGGGGTCGCGGTTGCGCAACGTGGCAGAAACGCACTGGGGTCGCGGTTGCGCAACGTGGCGGAAACGCACTGGGGTCGCGGATTTGGGCCTTGGCACGAGCAACGTCGCGAAAACGCACTCGGGTCTCGGATTGGGCGTTCACTGCAGCGCGCTCGCAAGGTTGCAAATCCTTGCCCGGGTCGTGAATCTTCGTGTTCCTTGGAACATTTCGTTAGCGTCCGGGTAGCGAACGAACTAGTGCTGAAAATGTCACCCAATAAAGACGATACTCCCAACAGATCTTCTTCCATTAAACCTACAAAAAAAAAAGCAATGAAAAGCAACGAAAGACGAAAAACGACACTAAACACGCATAATGACAAAAACGAGCAAAACGGACCGGCACGACACAAATAAAAGCCAACAAACGACTCAACTCACCACAAAAATAACATAAAAATGAGCACAAAAACACAAACAACTCCCCACACTTAGCTCTTTGCTTGTCCTCAAGCAAACAAAATAAGTAGTTCGAGAAAAAAAATCGAAAGGTCCAAAATTAATAATCGTGCGAAATAAAACTTTCATTTTCATACGCTAATCCATAAAATTAAACTCAAATTCGAAG